GCTCTTTTTTTGATCATGGCTTTCAGGTAGTCCAAAAATTCTTAAAGTATCTCTCCTGGATCTATTTTCCAGGTTGTTTTTCCAATGAGGTATTTTACATTTTCTTCTGGTTTTTCATTTTTGAAAATTCTTTTGACTGATTCTTCATGTCTCATAGAATCATTAGCTTCCACTTGCCTAATTCTAATTTTTAAGGAATTATTTTCTTCAGTTAGCTTTTGTACCTCTTTTTTCCATTTGGCCAATTCTGCTTTTTAAGGAGTTGTTTGCTTCAGTGGATTTTTTTTCCAATTTGACCAATTCTATTTTTTAAGTTGTTTTCTTCAGTCAGTTTATGTGCTTCCTTTTCCAAGCTGTTGACTCTTTTCTTCATAATTCTCCTGCATAACTCTCATTTCTTTTCCCAGTTTTTCTTCTACTTTTCTTACTTGATTTTTAAAATTATGTTTAAACTTTTCCAAGAGGACTTTTTCAGCTTGAGACCAATTCATATTCCCCTTTTAGGCTTCACATGTAGGCATTTTGACATTGTTGTCCTCTTCTAAGTTTGTGTTTTGTTCTTCCCTGTCACCATAGCCGTTTTTTTTTTTATTGTCAGCACTTTTTTGATTTTTTCCTCATTTTAAAAAGTTGAACGCTGCTCCTGGGGTACAAAGGGTACTGTCCCAAGCTTCTTGTGCTGGGACTGCAGGTGCTAGCAGCTTGCCCATTGCACTGAGAGTGGCCTTGCCTGGTCGCGCCTGTTGTGCCAGGGTTCCAGGGCTGGCAGTTTGCCTTCTCCACTGGGCTGGGGGCCTCACAGCTAGCCTGCCGCAGCACCAGCCTGCTGAGCTAGGATTGGTTGCTGATCTGTGCTGTGGCTAAGAGCCTCCTGCTATCTTGCCCAGACACCATCTACACTGGGCTGTACTCCCTTTTACCCAAGTGAGACAGACCTTTCCTGAAGTTCTTCTAAATTATCTTAAGCTGGAAAATTGTTTCACTCTATCTTTTCATGTATTTTGTTGCTTGAGAATCCATTTAAAAGCTTGATTTAATATTGTTTCTGAGGGAAACTGGGGAGAGCTCAGGCAACTTTCTGGCTCTTCTCCACTGGATCGACTCCCCAATCCACCCTCTTTTAATGACTTGGGCACCTAGCTCAGCATCTTTCTTCTTCACCCCATTGAAGTCATCATTGGTGACTTCAATATTCATATTTAAGAACACCCAACTGCACAGTTCATCAGCTTTCTCAACTCCCATAGTCTCCCTCTCACTTATAACTCAGCTCCTCCTAGGCACGGTCATACCTTAGATTTCATCATCACTGAAAAGTATTCTTGGACTCTGGAATTCCACTTTCTGATCACAGTCTCCTGTCTTACTTCTCACATTGCCTCACTATTTGAAACTGCTTTTTGCCCTATTTTCCCAGTTGATCACCCTCATTCTGGACTCCCTTCCCTGCCTTCTGTGTTTTATAAACACTGAGTAAATTTGTGTCTATTGAATTAAACACACACTAAACTTTGTTTTGGGTCCTCTGCAATCACTGTCTTGGCCTCAGAGTAACCTAAGGCTAAGAACCAAGGAGCAGACTCATTTTCCTGTCAAAGGGTGATTGATACTCACAGATATTTTATTAGTGGTTGGTGATGAAAACTTCACAGATTTACTTGAGTTAAATATCAGTTTTGTATCCCTTACAAGTTTCACAATGGAAAATATTTATTAATCATCTACTGTGTGTGGAGGGTACATGCCATATCACTGCAATAATATTCTTATCAGATTTTAAAAATAAAACAATAATTTTCAAGGATATTGTGCATTTCTAGGAAGTTTTAAAATCCCCAGCATCTTGTACCTTTATATCTGTTTCTGAATGCTTAACATATCCAATAAGTTACATTGACTAATTTAAACTTCATATTTTGCATTGTAATAAATGAGTTTGTTAACATATTAAACTTGACTCCCTTTATTGTAACACCAACTTCCCTAATATATTGCATATATTATAATAGTATATAATATACAATAACAATGCATATAACCTGATTTTCCTAACTGGGTTGGTCCCAGTCACTTCACTAAAAAGACCAGCAAGTGACTTCTCAATTACTAGAGCCCTTAGACCAACAGTGACACTTAGAGCCACATTACTATCCAACAGTGACTATTTTTTATTTTTCCCATCCTCGTAGATGGGAAGAGGCTTGGGTTTTGCTCTGTGTACTCCTGTGCTAGTATATTTGCATTTTTTTTAAAAAATATAGGCTTTGTTGCTCTGAATTAATGATCACACCATACATTTGGTTCGTGTGAAACAGAATAACTGTCCTATCTAGCCTATATTTATGGCTCTGGAGCTCGTCATTGACTCTCAAAGTGCTATTTTTATGGAACTAAAAACAAAGGCTATCAGGCCTCTTCTAAACAAGTAGAAATGGATAGTCCAAGATATGCAGATCCAGACAGACTGTGATTAAAGGAAGTCTATTTTTACTTTTTTCACATGCTTAGTATTTATACAGAGGTGGCTTTAAAAAAACGTAATTATGTAATCACTGAGAGTGAATGCTGTAGTTAGGCTTGTTTTGGAATGTCTATTAATGCATTCACTCCATTTTGAATTTCTTATAACTTTCTAAATTTAGCATTGAAGAAATATCTAATGCTTAATGTCCACTAAAGGCATTTGCTGCACACCCACTTTGTTGTTGTTGTTGTTGTTGTTCAGCAGTGTCTGACTCTTTGTTATCCCGTGGACCAATGCTGTCCATGGGATTTTCTTGGCAAAGGTACAGGAGTGGTTTGCCGTTTCCTTCTCCAATTCATTTTACAGATGAATGAACTAAGGCAAACAGAGTTAAGTGACTTGCCCAGGGTTGCACAGCTAGTAAGTTTCTGAAACTGGATATGAACTCAGGTCTTCCTGACTCCAGGCCCAGTGCTCCATCCACTGAGCCGCCTAGTTGCCTCCTACCTACTTTGTAGAGAGTGCTATATTTAGCCCTTAGACTTCAGACTTAAATTCACTCACTACTTTAATTTTTTAAAAAATGAACAACTAAAAATAATAATTATCATTTGTGTGACATTTTTAATTTTGTAAAGCAATTTACACACATAATTTTAGTTAATACAACAACTGTGAGGTAAGTGCTGTAGGTATTATTCCCATTCTACAAATGAGGAAATTAATGCTGAGAAAAGTTAAGTGACTTCCCAAGGACCACACAGCTAGAAAGGGTCTCATAATAGTAAGGCAGTTTCAAAGTTTGCCCTTGCCAAAATTTACAGTACTGCATTATCTAAAGTGTAGTCAGCAATGTCATCATTTTAAAGACTTGTATAAACTGATTAAGAAAAAAAAAAGACCAGAACCAAGAGAATAATTTATACAATAACATTATAAAAACAAGCAACTTTCAAAGCCATAAGAATTCTCATCAGCTGCAATAATCATACACAATTCCAGAGAAATAATGTCAAAACATGCTATCCAATTCCTAACAGAGTGGTGATGGACTAAGGGTGCAGAAAGAGACATATGTTTTGGACATAACCAATGAGAGAATTTGTTTTGTTTGACAATGCATATTTGTTATATTTTTTTAAATTCTTTTTTTCTCAGTAATAAAATGAGATTTCACTACCCTGAAAGCTGTTGATCTCTTCACTAGATGCTACTGTTTATCCTAGAAGTGATTCATAAACATCATGCAAAGTCTGGACACCTCAAGAAAAGTCTTCTAAGTAGCTGGAGATAGTTAGCAGTTAGAAATATGTAAAGGACCAATCACAAAGCAGTTCAGTCTTTTAGGTAGAATGCCTCGTTATCTTAAAATTGGAAATTGTCGGTCAGCCTTTCCATGGTAAAGGGATATATGCATATGGGCAGACTCACCACCATTTTGAGGTCTGTGATACATAAAATCTCCCTTCTGATAATTGACAGAAAATATTTTAACGCCTTCGAATTTTTTACATACATTTTTTACACAAATATATATGCACTTGAGACTGCATGGGTAGAAAGCCAGTCTGAGAGTCAAGAAGACCCAAGTTCAAATCTCCCCTCTGACGTAGACTGGTCATGTGATCCTGGGCTAATCATTTAATCTCACATTTTATTGTTAGGGTTGAATCATTTCAGTTGTGACTCACTCTTTGTCACAACCCAGTTGGGGTTTTCTTGGCAAGATATTGGAGGGATTTGCTATTTCCTTCTCCAGCTCATTTTCTAAATGAGAAACTGAGGCAAATAGGGTTAAGTGACTTGCCTAGGGACACACAGCTAGTCTGAGGCCAGGTTTGAACTCAGCTCCTCCTTACTCCAGGGGGCGCACTCTATTCACTGCACCACCTTTCTGTGCATAATCTCTCATTGCCTCCAAGCATCAACTAAAGACTAAAAACTGAAAAACAGTTGACTATATAAGTAGAAAGAAGAGGAGGTTTCATCCAAACACCAAGGCTAGCTATATGTCATACTATACTGCTTTTATGAAGCATATTTACTTTTAGAAAATATTTTTTAAAGTACTTAAAAATCCAGAAGCCAACATAAATCACTGGAAATTTGGGAGAAGAATATGTTTAATTTAATTTCATTAGTTTCCTTAGCTTCTTTCAAAATTCATCACAAAGCCCGCCTTCTACAGGGAGGCCTTTCTCATTCTCCCTCGCTTCTAATGCCTTCTCTTTCAGATTACCTTCCATTTATGCTGTCTATCTTATATGTACTTACATATTCATACATTGTCTCCCCCATTAGACTACATGGTCTTTGAGGACAAAGACTTTTTTTCTGCTTTTATTGGAACCTCAGCACTTACCATGGTGCCAGGAATATAACAAGGGTGTGATAAATGACTGATGTGATTGTTCTGTCTACCTTTTTGTAAAACTTAGTTCCATTTTTTTAAAAATTTAAATTCCTTAATTTTTTAGCAAGATAAATAAGCAAATGACTGTATTTCCTCACTTGCATCTCTTAATGTTCTTCCTAGGGTCAGCGTCTTTTTGAAAAGTTGCTACAATTGGCTGCTCGAAATATTGAGATCAAATTAGTAAGTGATTCAACAGTCCAGTCAAAGGTATTGGAAGACTTGAAAGTAAAGGGTAAGACCAAGGTTGATTTGCTATTATATTAGTAAGTGTCCTAGAAAGAAAACAATTTGAATTTCAAGTTTCTTATAATGTGCCTTTCATCAAAACAAAACTCTTAAATATTTTAACTTCAATTTCTTTTGGAAAAAATCCCTCTTCTTAAATATTCTTTTAAAAAAAGAAACCTAATTCCCATTTAGTACTATTATGTGTAGTCAAGTGTTATTTTTGCCTGAAATGTTATTTCATTGAATTATTATTAGTTCTTAATCGATTAATTAATAGTCATTAATGGTAAGCAATGTAAATCAGAAGAATGTTACTGTACTCTTTGGATATTTTAATTACATGATTAGAGCTAATAGATTAACATCTTAACATGGCATAGTAGACAGAGTACTATACTTAGAATCAGGAAGATCTGGGTTCAAATCCCACCTCTGATACTTACTGGTTATATGACCTTGGGCAAGTCACTTGGACTCTATGAGCCACAGTTTCCTGATGGGGAAAATAGGAGTTGTACTAGACTGCCTCTAAGTATTCTGCTAACTCTCCAGCTCTATGATTCCATAATAATCCATATTAATATTAAAGAGAATAGAAACTACGTCCCATTTCTCCTCATGCCTACCAAGTAAAAAAGTTTTAAATTGAAATGCTCATCTGAAAAGAAAGCCGGTACCTAAGCTAAGGATCTCTGAGACCTTGCCTAACTAAAAACATTGATGTTCCAACTCTCTGGAAGGAGCAGAATTTATGCTAATATTATATTTGCAAGTCATTCTAATGGATCACACTGTTGAGAATCAGTTTTCTATATACCTATATGCTAATATTAATGTATATTGTATTCATACACATGCACTTCTTTTTTCTCATTATATACATTTGTACCTTTTGAAATTAGATAGTTGCATAACTCAGAATTATAGGGACACAGTTCTTAACCCTTTTTGTATGTGTCATAGACCTGCCTGGCAGTCTGGTGAAGCCTATACACCCCTTCTTAGAACAATGGTTTTATTTGTAATAGAAGGAAATGCTAAATATCTTTTGGATGTTTGTGAAAGTAAACACATACATAAAAATATAGATGGCTATAGATGATGGAGACATATAAATTAAATATAGATGGGCTGCTAGGTGGTGCAGTGGATAGAGTGCTGGACTGGAAGTCAGAAAGACTCATCTTCATGAGTTCAAATCTGGCCTCAGACACTCACTAGCTATGTGGCCCTGGACAAGTCACTTAACCCCTTTTGCCTTGCTTTCCTCATCTATAAAATAAGCTGGAGAAGGAAATGGCAAACCACTATAGTATCTTTGCCAAGAAAACCCCAAATGGGGTCACAAAAAAGTCAGACATGACTGAAAAACAATTGAACAGTAACAGCATAGAAATAGATGTCTTACATCTAAGTTCATATCCCTACCCTTGAAATCTAAGAATCCCCAGGCTAGAGGGACCTGAACTTTTGGGAGGAAAATGGGGAGAAGCCATCAGAGGGGCCTACTACCTTTATATCCAGGACAGTGTTTGTTGATTGACTTGTGATCATAATGATCTACTCTGGTCATGGTACAACTGCAGTATTGTGACCAGTTCTCAACTCCACAGTTCAGAAGCAACTTAGGCAAGCTGGAATACATGAAGAAGATGGCCACAAAGACAATGAGAGGATTCAAAACCATGCCACATAAGGCTTGTGTAGAGGAATTGGAGATATTTATCTCTGAAAAGAAGATTTGGTGGGAGGAAGTGGGAAATGATAGCTATCATCAAAAATTTGAGAGGTTGTCATATGGAAAACAGATTGGATTCATTTTGCTTCATCCTAGAACTATGACAGCCAGCAGGTAGAAGTTAGAGAGTCTGATTTCAGCTCTCCGTATGGAAAACTTGCTAACAAATACAGTCATACAAAAAATGAATGAAAGGTAGTGTGCCTACGTGGATAGAGTGCTGGATTTGGGGTCAGGAAAACCTGACTGGGCTTGAGTCATGTCCCTGACACATGCTAGCTATGTGGCCATGGGCAATTCACTTGTCCTTTCAGTGATCTAGGCAACTATCCAGGATGTGTAACTTACTGAATTGCAATCTGAATCAGTAGAAAGATTCTGGGAAATTCTAGACCAATGAAATCACAGGTAGATCTGGACCTCCCTGCCATTCCCCTTCTCTCCAAAAAAAACCCAAAACAAAACAAAACAAAAAAACCCAAAAAGTAGAATAGGATACCTTGAAGAGTAGTCAATTTGCTGTCACTAGAGGTCTTTAAGTAGAAAATAAATAATTGCTTTTCATGAATATTGTAGATGCAATTCACTATTTGAGCAAAACTTGGTCAAGAGCTCTAAGGTCTATTTCAGCCTAAGGTTTGTCATCAGTTTCTCTAATACTGAGGTTCTATGACACTGTGATTCTGACACTTTTATTTTCAATCAGAATTTTAAATTGTATCTATAAACAATACAAACTTAGAAAACAGAATCTATTCAGAGAAAAGAAAAAGTTTTATGAATTGTTTGTACCTTACTCTGAACCCAGAAGCTTAAATGTTTCTAAAGAGCTATTGCTACTTAGATGAATTTACCTTTTCAGAGTGAACTGTAGCCATTTGTTTGCCATAAGATTTGGTCGGTTTGGTACAATCATTACTTTTTCTAGAAAGGGAAGGTAGGCTTCATTTTCACAAGTGTATATGAATATCTTGAACTTTATGGAGGTAAAAGGGACACCCTCACTCAGATATTTAACAAAATGACAGTTCTTATCAAGGTACAAAGTTTATTTAAGGAATTAATTATTATCTTTCATAATTAGATCAAATATAGAACCCTAATTAAGTCATTAATGGTTTTTAATTTAATGAAATTGGACTAGTCTTTAGAAACAAGTACATGTAAATTATTTAAATCATCATAACTCATTTATCTTTCTAAGTCCTTCCTGGCCTGATCCCTTGGTGACATAATATTAAGTAGAAAGAAAATAAATGTATTTTATGGTTTGTTTTATTCATGAATTAAGCTTTACTTAAATATTGTGTAGAAAATCATGAGAGTAGCTGTAGCTCTTATACAGTCATTGTATGTGGATATAGGTCAAATATGTAAATAAGGAGGAAGTAGGTTTGAGATCCTTAAAAAAAATTATAAAGGTAAATGATGGTCTGGTAGAGCTTGGTTATAGAGTTTTTATGTTCTTAGCTTCAGCAAACTGCTATGTTTCTTTTTTACTTCAATCATGTGGGCAAGAAGACATAAGGAAGTCTGAGGGAAAATGTCATCTTTAACTGTTGAAAACTATGTAAGTGCAAATTAAGGCTGTTCTTTTAATTAACTTTAATAGCCTAACCAAGCTAAAAAGAGGACTGTTAACAATGATAAATAAGAGCTGGCAGGCAAGGGAAAGAGCCTGGAGATGTTTGTTATGATAAACTGAATGCTACACATATGGGAGGGCTCAAATTCCAACATGGGATTCAGGGTAAATCAGCATGTTTTCCCATCCAAGTCTGTGAATAGTAGTGGTCTTTAGGGTAAAAGTAAGCTATGATTTTTAATAGTTTAGTATTAGTGAGAAATTATCAAAATTTATTTCTTTTAAAACTTGATTAATAGAATGCTATCACCTCATTTTTCAAAAGAAGAGTGACATCAATAATTCATCTGAATCTAAGTTAAAGCTTATGCCGTAGAGTAGAGGTGGGAACCTGCAGCCTCAAGAACACATGTTCTCAGTCCTCAAGTTCAGCCCTTTGACTGAAACCAAATTTCCAACTTCCTTAGAGAGTACAGTGTGATGAGCAGTAGTTCTAGAGTCAGAACCTGGAATCAACTCTCTTTGTCATTTATTATGATGCAGTAATATTCTGTTATATAGATACACTGTACCAGAATTTGTCCAGCCATTCACCAATTCATGTCCAACTCTTTGCTTTGACAAAAAATATTCCTAGGAATATTTTTGTTCAGAAGAGTCTTTTCTGTCTTTCTCTGATCTACATTAGTGGAATGGCTGTGTCAAAGGGTCTGCACAATTTAATGACTTTAAGGCTATAGTGCCAGACTGCTTCCCAGAATGGTTCCACCAATTCACAGCTCCACCTGCAATGTCCTCTTGAGCCCTCTCAGAAATCACCAATTTCCATTTTTGTGTTCTTTGCTAGTCTTATGGGCATGAGCTGAAACTTCACTTATTTTAATTTGCATTTCTCTTATTATTGATTTAGAGCATTTATATATGGGCAATTAACACATTAGCACTAATCCATTTTATTTTTTTTTCATCAAACTATAACTTTACTAAATTTATTTCTTTATTTATAAACACACCCACACCCACACACCCACAACTAGGCACATGATGTACCTAGATCACCTTGAAAGTATTCCTTTGTAGTAACATTTTTGTCAGTGTTCAGGTTCCGTTTGAGACACAATGAAATATTCCTAAGTCATTGAACAGTTAAAGAAAAAAAGTTTACTTTTCCATCACAGCAAGCATAAGGAACAAGTGGCATTTAATTAGCATCAATTGTCTCTGCCCTTCTTGTCTCCAAATGAAAGCAGGTCTGGTCAGCAGAGGAGAGTATAGTAACTTGTAGTGATCTGCAGATATCTACCACATCACAGGGGCCTTGTACTCCACATAGGTGGGATTTTTTATGTCCTTGGGAGACCAGAAAGCTGCATGAAGGGAGGCAGGGGTCAATCAGTTCCCAAGAACAATTTCATTGCTTTTAAGGGAAAACTAATCCCTACTGTGGGTAAAGGAAAACCCTGATCCTATCACATATGGTAAAAGTTTAATATACCCCAAAGTACATAAAAGCATTTTTGATTGGGGCAGCTAGGTGGCACAGTGGATAGAGCACCGGCCCTGGATTCAGGAGGACTTGAGTTCAAATCTGACCTCAGACACATAATACTTACTAGCTGTATGACCCTGGGCAAGTCACTCAACCCCATTGCCTAGCCAAAAAAAAAAGTATTTTTGATTG